TTCACGTTCTTACCCCCATCAACAGTCCCTCCCCCTTTCCAGGACTCCTGAATTCGCCACTGGTCGCTGAATAGCATACTGGTTATCATTCTTATTTATAGAAGAATAGGCCCTATTTTTCCATCTGTTTCTTCTTCGTCATTACCATGGCGAACAAACCAAAGGCGAATGTCTGGTTTATTTTCTGTACATTGAGGATCATTCTTTGAAAGTATCGGGAACATTGACAATGAGAAAAACGGGCTGACATATGATCTGGCCCTGGTTCTTAATCAATTTGTTTGAAGGGCCAAATTATTTTTAGCGCTAATCTGACGGGAACTTAAAATAATCTCCGCCTATAAAGAACCAGTGATCTATTTAAAACAAAACAAAACAAAAAACATATTGTTGCATTTGTGTTGATAGCCTGGACAGAGCTTTAAACATATAACATTAGCTGGACTGCTGTCCACATGTAGGCTTGGATATTAAAGACCATTGTCCAAACAAGTATGCAAAACGACAATGATTATCACACCTACTCGGAGATACGGGTAAAACCAGGCGTTCAAACATCACAGACCATACGAAAGTTGAATGATCCGATCCGGCCCCAGCACAACACCCACCAATAATTTAAACAAATATACTATGACCCCAAAAGTTAAATACCTAAAATGAGGAAAAGCAAAATCAGGTGGATCAGGGATGAGAATAAGATTGAAGATTGAGTCAGTTATGTTATATTTAAAACATGTGTAATATTATCGGTATGGAATGGACAATTAATACTGTAATAAATAAGGCACTAAAACAGAATATACACGTCAATTTCTAACCGCATACTATCCAGAGCAGGAATGGGGGGTGGGGGCGCTATCGCAGTGGAGTAGTAAACAAAAAGTTTGGTGTTAAAGGAAGATGAATAATGAACTAGAAAATTTTCAATTAATAATTGGTCAGGCAAATTTTGCCTAAGGCTGAAATTATTTAATGTTAAAAGCGTATGTACCGTAAACTGAAATTTATAGAGAAGAGGACAAAGGAGAAATATTTAAATAATCTAAAAAAGTGAATATCCCTTTGCTATGTTACAGATTAAAAATCTGCGGCGCCGTCACTTTGTAGGCCTATAACAATTAAGAGCTGAAACATTTTTATCATCTCCACCAAAGAGGTTATGTATTTACTGCTGTCTGCCAGCAAGATTACGCAAAAACGAAAAATGGACCATACATAATATGGTACATAGTAATCAAGGAAATACATCATTCAATTTTTGAAAGAAAATGTCAAAGGACAAGGTCAAGGAAATTGGATTTTTTATTTTGCGCATGAAAAAAAAATTGAACTCCCCTCTTTTCAGGCAGGAAAACAATGTGCTCTGAATACGAGGCTGTAAAGATATTAATCAGTAAATAGTTATAGAAACATGTACTAATTCTAATGGCAACAGAATCAGGATGAAGTGTTGTGAATATCATAAATAGATCAACTCGCTTTATGCTAAATCAAGCAGAGAATGCAGATGGATTCCTACACATTCAAGATGTCAGAGGCACGATTAACCAGTGGCTTGAAAACAAGGGTTAATACGTTATTTACACTATGTACATATCGGCATTAACTCTGTTTGTAACTAAATAATCTTCAATTCCAAAGACTGCACTATTATAGGATTATTCTTACAGTTGGATATTTTATAATGAAGAGGGAAAATGGAAGCTAGTTGTATCCCGGGGTATTAGTATACACTGATCCCTGTCTCTTATACACATCTAGATGTGTATAAGAGACAGGCGTATTAGATAGTGAAATAGCTCTGGATGGATATAGTGTTTTTAGAGATGATAGATCAGAAACACAAGGAGGAGGAGTACTATTGTATGTACATGAATCTCTAAAAGCTACATCTTTCACAGAACTAAATGTTTCAACATTTGAAAATTCTACCTGGTGTAAAATTAAGCTGAATGAGCAAGAATGTCTTTTGGTGGGACTAATTTATCGCAGTCCAAATAGTTCGGACTGTCTCTTATACACATCTAGATGTGTATAAGAGGACAGTTGTAATACCTTTCATGTGTTTTTTTTTGCATATACTTAAATTGGCTGGTAATTTAAGCATTTCTGTATGTAATCGGGCTGTAAACCAATGTTTGAGGAAGTTCATAACTTAGTTTATCCCTTAATAGCTAAATTTTAATTGGTTTTTCATGGTTTTTTTTTTTTTTTTTTTTTTTTGGCAGACAGTAGATCTTTAACGTAATACGATGTAATGTTTAAGGCAATGCATGTAAATTTGTGATAAACGTGTATATTCAACAACCGAAATATTTCCTGCCATAAATTTCATTTATTGAACAATAAATGAAGTATAAATAGTCATAGATTATCTTTGGTAATTACAAATATGTGACTAATAAAAATGTTTTCTTTGTTGAGACATAGGCCTAGGCCTATTAAAGAGGGTTTCATTTTAAAATAAAGCACATTAATTGATGATAAAAACGAAATGATATACATCCCAAAACATACCCAATCCATTCTTTGGTTCTGCTGAAATACGAGGAAAAAACAGTAAACAATTTGCACAAAGCGAATCCTAGATTTTTTAGTTCTTTTAATTACTTACATTACAAATGAATGGCCTGGCATTCGGACAAATAAAAATCATGAAAATACTGAAAAATAAGCCATGTGTATAATCCCATTTTACGTTTTAATCTCCTCAGGCCCTTATATTTGTTAGATATCATTTATACAGTTTGTATTGCTAAACAATTAGTTCTTCTTATATAACTTAAATATATATACCTTGTTCCATCTGCCTTTCTCAATTTCTAGGTCAAGAACTCCTAAACGGAACTTATAGTAACTAGTTGTCTTTGTTTTAAATCTTTAATACATAATAAATGATGACTAATTTCAATTTTTGTTTTAAATAACTTAAAATATCTGAGTTTCGAATGTAAATGAAATTGTTCAAAGTATTTTTGCTTTTCCGTATCAATTAGTCTCAATCTAAATTCTTTAAGAAATATTTGTTTATTCTCAATTTTCTGATTAATCCATACATAACCGAATCCTGTGGAGAAAAGTAATTCTTTTACGTTTCCAGCCCAGCAGGGCTCATCCCTGTCAACTTTTCTTAACTGAAAATTATAAAATTTAAAAATAAATTTATTGCCCTCACTTTCAATAATTTTCAACCAATACCGTAACGAATAATGGACAGTAAACACGATGTGAACGGAAAATCTACCACCAAGTTCTGGCGATACTGGCGATACTGGGGGCGCTGTTTACTACTCCCAAAACAAATTTTTGAAAATCGGGTATGGGGAGCGTTTAATTTGAGTGTATTCTGAATAACCCCATATTTCGCTTCCATAAGTTAATATTATAAGTTAATATTAGAATTAATCTTTTGTCGCATACTGTATTTCGTTCTAGATATTTGGAGTAAGGTAATTAGTATTGCTGTAAACAAATGTTTTGAGAGAAAAAATGCATTATTTGCTTTTTGACAGTTACGTTGTACCGTATTATTCTACAGGCCATTTGAACTGAAACAACACCTAAGTAAACATATGACGTAACAGCTTCCATTTGAGTGTTATTATAATACCACTTTCATTTTTTTTAGTTTGCCTCCTTTTTTAAATACCATTATTTTTTATTTATTTATATTTACAGTTAGACCCCACACACCACATAAATATTGAAGTTTTATTAACAATTTTTGAAGTCCCTTTACTGTATCGCTAATTAAAAGCAAATCATCAGCATAAAGAAGATGATTTAAATAATAGCCTTCAATTTGAATTTTGTCATTATTTTAGATTTGATTAAGGTCATAACTTAGATCATTCATAAAAATGTTAAAAAGTAAAGCAGATAGGCCTAAAGGTGATCCTTGTTGTATTCCGATAGAGCATTTAAATGGTAGTGTTAACGTATTGTTTACTTGTACATGAGCTGTTAGTTGCTTATACATGGACTTAATAATGTCATACATCTTACCATCCACTCCTATTCTTTTTAACTTAACTAAAAGAAAATCATGATTAATACTGTCAAATGCGCGCTTCAAATCAACGAAGCAACAAAATAATCTTCCTCTTTTTTTACTTAAATATTTCGAAATAACACTATTTAAAATAAAAATATTATCACATGTACAAAATCTTTCGGAATCCTGCTTGCTCTTGAAATATAATATTATTATGTTCTACAAATTTCGTCAATCTGGCATTAAGGATATTCATAAAGACTTTGCCTATGATCGGAATTAATGATAAACCACTATAGTTTTCTGGTTTTTTTCTATCACCCTTTTTGTATATTGGACTTATAATGCTTGTAGCTCATTGTCCTGGAAATTGTCCAATTTGAACTGCTAAGTTGAACAAAAGCGCTAATTGATCCAAAACAAAATATGGAGCATTGTTAATGTACTTGTTATGCCTGTTGTCGAATACTGTCTAGGAAAGAAACGGATGACCAGTGCCATATATACGTGTAGAATACGGTAATAGTTAGGCCTATTTAGAGATTTACTGTATGCCTACGCATACCGATATTTCAAGCAAGATTTACGCTTGCCCACACAGAAGTCTAGATTTTTTGTCTGTCGTTAGACCGCAATACCTCAGTATTTGTTACTGATTTTAACAATGGGACTAAATCTGCCGATTGGTCAGTGAGTTGGTCAGTCGGCGGTCAGTCGATCGGTCTACTATCGGTTGGCGGTCGATCGATCACCCCCTTCAGCAAACTAAAATCACAATGAATAATTAAACATTCCTTTTCAGCAGAAATATAACACAATATAAGTCATATATTGATGTCTACCCTTCAATGACCTTCAGAGTATCTTATATAAATCGAAAACTCATTAGGGGTTAGTGTTAGGGTTATTATTCGCAACAATGCCCTTAAAATTGTGTGTATAAAAAGTCCGTAGCGGGATTCGAACCTGAAGTAGCTTCTTATAAATATAGGTCGAAGCATGAAAATAATAATAAATAATACAGCATTCAAATTAGGGTTGCTGCGTACGTATACGCATTCTCCCAATAGGAATAAACGATATTATAATCGTACAACGAAAAGTTCTCTTTTCAGTTGAATGAAAAAAGTGTTTGTTGCGGACAATTCCTACCTAAATGAAACTTTCCAGCATTTCCAAACTTTTCAAACAGTTTTTGTTGAAGACAGTGATCCAGGAGGATAGTCCATAAATTAAAATCGATAACGTTTTACTACATTTAGAACTGTAGATGGCGATATTCCATGATCGAGCGCAGAGCCGTAGATAGAGAGAGTTTGGCCAACTCGGTTTTAATCACGTGACTTACACCGGCCATGTTGTCACCAAAACAAAACAACGCGATAGGGTAGGAAGTTAGCAGTTATTATAGATGATTAATGCGTAGATGGCGATATTCCATGATCGAGCGAAGAAGTCGAGCGAGAGGTGAGTACGTCGTGTCGTAAACATTTGAGATCTCAAAACAAAACATTGTTGTGTTGTATTTTATTTAAAGCATTAATGACAAATTTAAACATTTTAAGGTAATCCTATGTTCATTTAAGGTATACTGATTTATAAATAAATTTAAATTGTGTGGTCATATGACCGATGTTTAGGGACTTGATCAAATCTTAGAAGTAGGACAGAGAGGTCCACCTTGCCTGCCTGGCTAGGCCTAGACTAGACCACGAGGGGCACATACGTCACATAACGACGCCCGATGAAGTACATTTGCCCTAGGCCCTAGGTTAGGCTTAGACTAGTGCCGCTTGTTTTGAGTTGTTATTCATTAATGAAAGGACATAAAAGGTGTGCTTACTTATATATCGTGATGTCTTACTTTACTTATTTTTTATCCTAGGCCACAAAGTGTAAAATGGCAATGATATGAAACATGGTAGAATATACCTAGCTAGGTCTAGGCTAGGCAGGCCTAGACTGGATGATGGAGCTAGGCTCCTATGAGGCTATGCCTAGGCCAGGAGGATCCTAGAGATATACTAGGTCTAAGCTTACCTAATATTTATTGATAATCATCATCATACATCATAGTTCTCATCATCAACACAACATTACAGGGAGGTAAAAACATCACCTAGGCCTACCTATGATCACTTTGAATTTTGGAGTTTTGAAGGCAGCGCATGCCTAAACCATTGGCAGCGCTGTGATTTTATTACCATTCATGTATTGACATTGTCAATGTCTAATTTGTTTGCCTTTCAATTAATCACACCATTTTACCGGTTAAATAATGCTATCAAATACTATTTTTTTGGTCACAAAAAATATCAACTAGGCCTACCTAAGATATAAAAACAAATAATAAGGGAGAATATCGAGGCAGGTCTCAATCCTTTACTTTTCACCTTGCCTATCTCTAGACCTCATTTTCCAGACCTAGGCGTGCATTGATTTAGAATGGCAATACGCACCTGTGGTTTCAATATTATACAAGGTCTTGTCTAATGCTGTACAGAATAAACAAATGCTTATAATATGTGGTCGTGATTGCTGGCTGAATAAGGACTAGGCCTAGGCAAGGATAGGCCTGGTAGCCTAGGCGGCCTGGCTCACCTACGCTTTGTCACACATTCGGGTAGGAATTGGTGATTTTAATCAAAGCAGTCATGTGTGTTAGGCTTGCCATATTCTTAGTATATTTATATTGATTTTTAACATAATTGTGAAGAGTCGTGTATCGCAAGGGACTCATTCATCAATGTTGTGAAGATGGCCTTGTATCAGAATAATCTTTTTGTATGGGTGACCATTTGGGTTGTTTTCAATGTAAAATTTATGTAAAAATGATGATGATAGTTATTTTGTTGTATTAGGGAGAGCATAAAACATTAGGGTATTAGAATACTTAAATACCCCTTCACTACGGCACTGTTAGTTTCACATTATTATTTTCAGAGAATGGAAGACCTGAGCAGTGGATTGGTGTCTGGTGGAGGTCCGCAACCTTCACCGGATAATGTTGTGACATGCATGTCACAGTCTTCGGCGGATGTTATTATTAGTGAATCGAAGAATGTAGTTGTGCAGCGGTTAGGCATTGGTAGCCCCATTTGGAACCTGACAGGCAGTTCAAGTGAGGGCCTAAGCGAGGTAGGGCTTGATGCAGCGGTTGTCATGGAAACACCTGGATGGCCTTGGGTTTGTTACCTTGTAACCTTAAGTATTGCAACTGTTTAATGTTGACTTTCAGTTCCTTTTCCCCCTAAAACTTTCATGGACTTATACCTTTGTTGTTTCCATTCTCAATCCTTTCTTTAATTTTCAAGACTAATGTGTTTTTAAAAATTAGTTTAATCTTTGTTTATTTTTACCTAATATGTAAAGCATCAGGCCCGTAACCAGGTCATTTCAAGGGGGGTTCTCTGGGCGTGGAGTCCAGGGGCTTGCCCAAGGGCGCCGGTGGGGTCGGGGGAAAAGCCTCCGAAGCCAGAGCAGTTTTTGTGTTTAATGGGTCTATATAATGTTATAAAAGCAGTTATGTTTTGAAAAAGATCTATGTAATAAAAAGGTGGTAATATAATAAAATTAGAAAATATTTTCTGAGAATTGGCATGTTTAAATCACACTGAAAGACAAAAAAAAAAATAAATAAAAACCTCATAGCATAATCAATATCAATATACTCAACACATTTATTATTATAAAACAAAAGCTATTATATATAAATTAAAGTATTGTATATAAAGTAATTTTTACAAAGAATTATGTACTGTGCTTCTTTATAATAAAAATGAAGTGTTGTCTTGTTTTAACTTAAATAATTAATATTCCAGTATATAAACAAATCGTAGCTGCCTGTTGCAAAGAAACATCTCCCCCCCCCCACACACACACACACCAACCACCAAAAACCACAAGGTATAATCTGTATACACCATATACATGTTTTTGCCATAAAAACATTATGAACTTTAAACTTAACTTTAAAAATCTGAAAGTTTTTTTCTTTAAACCTAATGAACCTTAAATATTGTATATAATTGATTTTGGAAATCAATAACCCACCTTAAAGGACTATCTGTCGTTTTCTTCTTTGCAACAGCGGACGGAACAAAGTCAGTTATTCTACGACGTTTCATGATTCTTTATCACTAAAAATTAACAAACACTTGTTTTGACGCACTCCGTTCTTTTGTGTGTGTCTGATGTTGAAAACAAACTTCCTAATTTTGTGACTGGCTATGATGACTGAGATGGACCATATTGATTTATTAATAATATTTTGTTTGGGATGGAAAGAACGATAGTCAATTTCCCAAAAATGCTTCATCAGCAAATAGTTTAGTGTGCGCTATGGACAGTATGGCTATGGAATTTACTAACCACACAATCCACAATCAGGTGATTAAGTCGCAAAACTTTAGTTGCATTTGATGGATTAAGTCGCAAAACTTTAGCTTCGTTTGGCGACACCATTTACTCCAGATAGACCGCTTTTGTTACCGGTAGGTACACTTCTTACAAATGCTCAGCCAAAGGCCAGTGTTTGCTGGAGTTGCGTTCAATTTAAATCTCAGAACTTCTGAATGTAGGCTTGTATCGCAGGCTACAATTTAAAAATGGGTGTCCAAATAATGAATTAGGTGCTAAATTTTGATTTAATGCTGGGTAAGTTAAAAACAGACATTCCGTCCGAGTGGGACTCATTCAAAAATTTGAGGGGGTTCGCTAGAAAACGGGGGGTCGTTAAAAAAGGGGGTTCGTCCGAACCATAAAATCCCCCCCCCTGGCTACGGGCCTGAGCATTACTATAAATTAAAGCTGAGAAGAAGTACAGTAGTCAAAAAACTATTTATTGTCTGGGAGTAGGTATTATACAGAAATAAAGAAAAGTATTACCAACAATCAATTAGTAATTGCTATATTATTCTGTAATATTAGAGTACACCATTTTGCAGTTCAAGTAAAATGCAAATCTCCAACACAAATGTTTAAACTGATGTACAGTACAGTACAGTAATAAGTTTTGCTTGTTACTTGGAAAAGAAACTTTGTAGTACTGGATGCATTTATTTCACACTGGAGTTTGAAATGTTGTTCTTTTAATTTCAGTAGAGATGAATAAGTATACAAGAATATAAATACTGTAATTGTTTTGTTTGTATTCGTGTATATTTTATGATAGTTTTCCTCATTAGTTAATTTGTATGTGTTAATCTATATGATTTTGGGCTGTGTATGTTCGCAGCATCTGTGTGAGTATGTCCTGAGGGGAGGGTCTGATGCATATGTGTACACTTCCCTACTTCTGGTTTGCCTTCCTTTTATTTCAAAATAGAAAGGAATAAGTATTCCTCTGCCTGTGTGTTTTCCAAACACTGCAACACACACACTATTAGTCCTGTACTTAAAACACTCCTTTCACTACCTGACAACATATTTTTCTTAAGTTTCTAATTTTACCATTTCAGACTCTATTATTTCTCTCGTCATCATGTTAAAATGAATAATTAACATTTCATTGAAATTTACAACAAAAATTACTAACATTAAGATAATTATGATGATGATTAAAAAACTGATAATTAATCTAAAGTCGACATTCTAACCTTTTCATTCATTTTGAATAATTCATTTTCATTCCATTACTTCATCAAACTTTAAGGTTAAACAGTAATTGTTATTTATATTGAGATCCTTTGTACAATTAGCTACAATGGTTGAAGTTAATTTTCTTTGTGGAAATTTATCATTATTTTCTCCAATTATATTTTTATTTGAAATGTTCAAATAATTGATAATTGTCTTTTCAATTTCTTGTTTTTGTTGCTGCATTTCTACAAATGTTGATGTATCATTTACCACATTTATTTACAGTTAATGCTCCTGAGCATTTATTTTTGGGAGTGTTTTTATTGGAGAATTTATTTTAGAGAAGCGGAATTATTTTGGAATTTATTGTAAAATTATCTGTTATACTAAAACATTTGAGGTAAAAAATAGATACATTGAGGGATTATTTTTTATTGAGAAGAGCATTGATAAGAAGCTACATTTAAGCAGCCATTCAAATACATAAGGTATTTTATATTATTCAGTCGATTAATATAATAATTTTTTTTATTGAATTTTAGGAAGGAGTTGGGATGAGTACTCTAGGTAGTCAATCCCTTCTTTCAGATGCCCAATTGGAAGCCATCGGTAAGGCTATGTCCTCTGATGATATGGACCAGATTTTTATTGTGCAGAATCCCTACCAGTCAGAATCGATGACATCAGAAGGAGAAGATGCTGAGTTTGGCCATGTCGAGGAAGTGTATGCTGGGTCGAAATTGTCCATGCAAATAGATCCCTTCATGAACACATCGACTACTGTTGAAGTAAGCTCTACCGATGAGTCATTTAACTTGACTAACCTCCTAGGAGGTGAGGTAAGCATGGCCACAGACCAACGGTCTGATGTTGATACTGTTGCACCAGTGTTTTCAACTGTCCCTACAGGTGACGAGGCTGATGTGTCGAATAATGAAACCAAAGACACAACGTGTACAGGCAGACGACACATGGCCAGACGGTCTTCTCGTTTAGCCAGGAATCTTAATCTGAAATCAGAGGACTCCACAGATATGGAATCCGAGAAAGATGAAAGATTAACGAGTAAAATTCTATCATCAAGAAAAGAAGGGGTTGTGAAGAAGCGTAAGGAAAAGCAGGATGAGGTTCATATTCAGAAAATGTTTAAAAGTATTTACAAAGAGAAGATTACAGGGCAGAAGAAAGATGAAGGCGATGATGTTGAAGGAATGAAGAAACACAGGCTAAAAAACCAAGAGCAGGATGCGATAAGGAGACAGATTCTACAACATGGTCTCAGAAAGGTCAAAGATTCCAGCGAGGTTAAAGATTCAATGCCGAAACCAAAAGAGAAATCTGCTTTTTCTGCCTCTGTATTGAAGCAGGAAAAGCATGCAAGGCCAGAGAAAATACACAAAGCAGTTAAACGACGCGAGTCATCTGAAGAGGTTGTACAACAGTACATAGTCACTGTAAGAAAGGATGCTAAAGGCCAAACTAAAGATGTCAAAGTTGACGTTGAAAAATTTGATGCTCGAATTTTAGATGTTAAAGGTCAAATAAATAGGAAAATTAAATCTGACCAGGTGCATGCCACGGACCAACAAGCTAAGAAACTTAGTAAGGATAAGTTAATTCCAGATACAATGAATTTAAGAAAGAGGAGAGAAAGTATTGATAAAGTAAAGCAATGGAAACATGATAATAACAATGATGATCAGAAAGTTGACTCTACAAGCACCAAAGACCAAAAGCAGAAACTTGGAATTGAATTAGAGGAGTCAGCGAAAATGCAGGTTGGACAACAGAGAGAAAAAAGAGTGTGTATAAAGCGACGATTCTCCTCGCACAGTGAAGGTTTGTCTCGGTGTATTTCTAAAAAAATTGTAGTTGTTTTCATTTGTTCCAAATATCCCACTTTTTTGAAGATATGTTCGTATCTTGATATCATCACATCTTTTTGAAATCTCATATTTTAGGCCTACAATTTAGCGACGAATCGGAGGATGCAGTTGAAGATGATGATGAGGATGATGCTGTAAGCTGGACAAGCAGCGATGATCCTGACCGCCTCTGGTGCATCTGTCAGAAGCCTCATGGCAACAGGTTTGTATTTGAGGCGGTAATGAGACATTGCTAAAACAATTTAAATGCTTTTGAGAATGGAAGGGCTGAGCAGTGGATTGGTGGTTTGGTGGAGGCGTGCAACCTTCGTTGAGGATAGTGTTGTGACATGCATGGCACAATTATTAGCTCAACTCAAACAGTATGCCTCAATCAGGGTCAGCTTTGCAGGATTAGCAAAACCTAATAAATGGATCATAATATAATTTAGTACATATTGGGAAAGAAAGTAGGGATTAAATTCTGGGGTGAAAAATTCAGTGGTCAAGTTCTTAAAAAATAAGGTGTGGCGGTATGGACTATATTGCGTGCCCACTGTAGAAAAAAACATCTCTCAGTAACAGAGCCACCCTAACCCTAACCCTAAAGGAATGATGTGTGGTCCATACTCTCTTCAATCCTCCAGGGATGATGATGGTCCTTGTTGTCTTAAAACTCCCTTGTTCGCTGGTGTCTGTTGTAGTGTACTCAAAAGCATAAAGTAATGATTGGGGTATAAGCATGTCAATATACTGTACATGGCAATATTATAACGCCAAGCTTGAACATGTTCAACTGGACAGAAATTGACAACACCACAGTGTTGACATGTTAATACGTTAAGTGGTTTATACAAAATATAATACAGTACTGAATATGTATTCTTTTGTCCTTGGTGGAGATATGTTCAAAACAAGTCAGACATACTGTATTAAAAATACAAGATAAAAGAACCACATACAATCCTCTAAAAATGAGATATTTAAAAATGGCTCAGATATTTGGTTATAACAACAGTATTATGCTACATTTTTTTTTTTTTTTTTAAACAAGGGAAATGAAACTCAAGTATAGGTATTTGGTATTCACTAGGTTTGAAACTCTTCTGTTTCAGTTTTTTCAATTTCAGTTTATTTATTAGACCAACAACAAGATTGGTGGCAGCTTAAGCAAACAAATCACTATAACTTATTCAAGTCAGCTGCCCCCTCATACAATATACAATTTGATAAAAAGACAAAATTTACAATTAAAAAATACAGAAAAAAAAACAATTTTAACATTAAAAGTGAAATATTTAAAAAAAAAAAAATTATAGTAAATAAAGATACAGAGTTAAAGTTAAGTGAAAAAAAAATAAAAAAGAAGAAAAAAAAAGGGCAAGAAGAATTGACCGTCAAGAAAAAGGACAGGTCAAAGGTGGGATAACAATTAAGAAGTAACAATGAACTACCCACGCTGTCCTCTGTTGGTATGCGAGCAAGAACAAATTCTTTTTAAACCTTCCCCCTCTCCCTAAATTGTTGAAAATATAAAAAATGGAGAAAAATTTTAACATTAAAAGTGAAATATTTAAAAAAATAAATTACAGTAAATAAAGATACAGAGCTAAAGTTAAGTGAAAAAAAAAAAACAAAAAAAAAAAAACAAAAAAAAAAAGAAGAA